TTTCTGCATCTACTTGTGTTTGTGAGGCTTCAAACTTCTGATATATATTTTATGTATAAGATATTGAAGTCCAATAAAATGAAAAACATGAATCGATATTCCAGCCTCTAAGCCAAACATTCCCGATATAGTAAAATGGGAAAAAGATTCCTAAAGTGTAACCTTATGTATGAGATATTGAAGTCCTATTGTGATGTACATTGTTTGAATCAGATGAACATGTCGATAATCCCTGAAGATACTCCATGTAGTTTAGATGGAGGTAAATCTGAAAGGCTTGCTCTAGCTCCTCCAGCAGCAACGTGTATAGTTCTATTAAAGGCGCCCTTATAAAAGTGTCTTTCATCGTTTGTACAAATATTCTGCAGTAAACAAGGTAGTGTTATCTTTGCATCAGTCAAATAATAGAATGTGGAACCATTTTAATTAGTAAGAAATAAATGTAAATATGATGGGTGGAAACATCCTAATATTTGCAGTCTGCTTTAACTAAATGTCGGATGATAGGCAAAATAACATACTTTCATTCTTCATTAGTACATATTCCTATGATAATCTCAATGCCAATACCGTTTCATAACTGATGAAGATATATATACCAAACAGTTATAGGAAGCCAAGTCCACCTATACCCAATTATAAATGTAGTACAATATGTGTTATGTTATAATCTCCAAATAAACACTTTTCTTTTTACATTTAGATATAAAAAAATTACATAGATTTATCAAGATAATTAAAAGCTGAATTAGTTTCCTGTTTAAATGAGCACCTGAGGATGGAGTCTGAGATTGGTAGTAAACAAAATCTGCAATAAAGTAAGGAGTCTAAATTAGTTGGGAATCAGGAATGATGTGCGTTACAGAAGAATTGCATCAGATAGCAAAATACATTGAAATACCAACTTCACCAACCATCAATTAAATTATTATAATGCACCAGCACAATATATAGAATGCATATGAAAAATACTTAGAAATTATCCACAAAGCAAAATGTTACTTAGAAGAGTTGGTTCACTAGAATCTCAGGTACATTTTACTAGGCTTACATATGTAAAAGATAATTATGGCAAAGAAAAAAAAGAACAACATGAAGCCAATCGCTACATACAATCACTTTAAAACGCATTTACTATTACAAAGTAGAGTTTTTTTTTTTGCCAAGATTTATAGACAGTATTAGAAGTTCCATATTTTAATAATTTTAATTTCACTTATAATTAAAATCTTTGACACTTCATTATAGCAAGGAACCTTCAATTTGAAGATGAGAACGTTAATCTCTAGCAAATGGCATAAGGGGAAGTTCTTAGTCTTTATTTTCTATCCCAAATTAACATATACTTTAGATAAGCTTGTAGACAGTGATGACCCGATAGGTCATTTTGAGTTTTAGCATTTATTTATGTGTTTCAAGACCTCGAATAGCTCTGTTTAGTGTCCTTGATTTGCGTGCACAACCATTGTCTTTTTTCGAAAATTTTTATGTGAAAAATTAAAGAAAATGTGAATTTTAACCTTAAAAATGATTTGAGTTTCCACTAATTCTAGGAGATTCGTCTTCACAAGAAGAAACCATTTCACGTCTCACAAACATAAATTTTACTCTGGGTTAAATTAGCATGAAATGCCCACTTCCAGAGTTGCAGTAAACATAGATTTCATGTCTAAGGCGAAATAATAGAGAAGTGGTGCATTTTATGTTAATTATAATGATACAAAAGATTTATTGTGGTGCTTTATCATAAATTACATAGTCTGATTTGTTCTGTCAAACACCTATGGTAGTTTAATGCTTGAACATCCTACATTGATACTGTGGTTCGTCTCTCATATATATATATATATNGGCTGCTCTTCATCATTACCAAGATAATTATCTCCTTAAAAGAAAAACTATTGTATTTATGTCACACTCCCATCTTCAAGTTTCTAATTTGTGTAATTAAATGATTATCTTAATAGAAAGTAATCAAGGCACGGTTTCACACTTTAGTCAGCTCTACTCTTAAAATACAAGATTAGAAGTTTTTGAGTTAGAGATGATTCCCTTTTAAATTCAGTATCCTTGACCATATGTCTGTATTGATGTAATACATTTACCATACTTTCATAGAATTCAAATGAGCAAATAATTATAGCAATATTATTATGCTAATATATTTTTTTTAACTATTTGCGAATCGCGCGGATTCTAATACTAATTAGTTCTAGTAAAAAAGAACACTAAATCCCTGAGAGAATATTGTGGAGACAACTTTGACGGCACATTTGTAGTGGGAATTTGAGCCTAACTTCGTGCTGAAATATTTTGTGGGAAAACTCAAGTATCCAGGTACTATATCTAAGTCCCCACAATAGTGTATTTTATTTTTTTATTTTTTTCCTCCCAAATTAGGAGGATCTACAGTGTTTTCATACTTTTCCTTCAGCGTGACTCGAATCCAGAACTTAAGAGTCGTAGGTAGAGGTGCTTTACCAACTGAGCAACCCTCACTTGTCAATGTATTTTATATTGATGAGTAAAATAGTGGGGTTATGAATTATATTCTTATAATAATAATAATGATGGCATAGTAATATATCAATGATTAGTAGCATTGAAAGTTACTGGAATGCAATTTCGGTGAAATAGAACATAGTTTTCTATTATTCCTTTAAAAGTAAGAGACAAGAATGATGATTCATTATTATTAGCTTTTTAAAGGATGCACATGAAATGGAATTGTGGAAACGAGGATTTTAGTACACTGTTGGGGGGAATTGAACCTACTTAAGAAGCTACAGTATTGGATTTTTATTATTTAGTACATAAAATATAATTTTCAATCATGGTGTAACGATTGCAAGTAATGATGATAATAATGAAGTGAAATAATTATGTGGTATAAATCACGGTATAGTTTTCTGAAGCTACTACAGTTTCGGTACTTTTTGAAGTACTACTGTTGGTCTATGTTTGCGTACAATTATTTATTAACTAGTGACTATGCCTGCGCTTCGCGCGATCGTTAAAAATTATATATAATATTATCAAATAATTTCAGTGTTGTTATATTTTTATAATAATAAATTAATCTATATTTTTCAATGATAATGTCACATGTTGTTCTTGATATAATTGCATTCTCAAGGTTAATTGCTATACTCTTATATCCTCCTGCGTAGCTTTTTTTATTTTTATTCGTATGATTGTATAGAACCTTCAACTCCACAACGTACATTATACTCTTTCCAAAAACCTTATCAATGAAGGTTGAAATTATAGTGCAATATCTTTCTTGACATATGAAAATAATATTGTTTAATTAATTAAGACAATATCCAAATGAGAGAGAACATGAATTTTAAAACACTAAATAAAAATTGAGAAAATGTCACTTTTTAAATATTAAAAAAAAATCAACAAAAAATTTATTTTTTTATGTAATTAATATTTTTATATTTTTATGATATTATCTTAATTTCAAGAATATAAATAAACAATCAAGGTAAAAACATCAAAGAATAGGCTATTCGTTCATAGCAATTGCACTATTTCAACGCAAATTACAGAGTCCATCATTTCTCAAAGTAAAAGAGAAAGACGTAGAAGCCCTAAATCCCACTTTGCTCCGATTAGGCCATTTTTGAAAAATTTCTCTAATATATATTTCCTCCAACAATATCTAGAAGAGTAAATAATAATCTATTGATACGTAATATATTTTCAGGTTTTGTAAAAAATTAACAAAATGTACAGGATACTTCCAGTTAGAGTGCATCAATATTAAAATTTTATTAACAAATATATTAAGATAAACAAAAGTATTCCCGTGAAAGAATGAGATCACCGGGAGAATCCAATTACATATATCCTCTCCATTCAAATTGTAAGTTGGAAGATTTTTTTTTTTAAAAAAAGAGCTCAATGTACAAAGTATCTCGTATTCACGCAGGGTCCAGGGAAAGACCGCATCCGAGGGGTATGTTATAGACAACCTACCCGAATGCAAATATTAATGGCTACTTTCATGGCTTGAACTCGTGACCTATATGTCATACAGAGACAATCTTACCGTTGATCCAGTTACGCAATACATCTTTACATTCAAATGGATATTCATACACATACATGTAACTTATTGGTTTAATTGTACTAAAAGTTCCACAAATTTAATAAAACATAGTTTCATACATATGTAAGAATACAAACACTTTATGAGAAGAAAGCAAGAAAACAAACTCTATGGATATATAACTATGAACATATTTTATCTTTGTGGGTGTGGCAACTTTTCAACAGTCAGTCATTGTATAATACAACATTCTGCAGTAACTTCCTCTCCTGATTAGATGTACAGTTAAGTTTCGATCATTCAATATGAATAGGGGCGGAGCCACAGAGCAGGCTATGACTTCAGCCGAACCCATTAGCTTTTGTTTAAATCTTGTATTTTTCTTTTAAAAATTTATTAGTTATGCACAAATAATTAACTTAAAACCCAGTAACTTAAAAGGATTAGAATCCCAAATCCATAAACTTTAAATCTTAAAGGGATGAAATCAGTTTCTTTCGCTATGTCCAGTGATGTTCTTTCTTAACCATAAGTTCCATAGAAAGGAGCAGAAAAACAGGAAGTTCAATAGTCATTGAGAAATCAATTCTTCTTATCGAAAAAAAAATGCCTGAAGTAAAAATAATTTGCCTGAACCAGTCTAGACAATGATTCAACGTTACACATTAGTAAGCATTTATCTTCTTAAGGGAGAGGACTCAATGCTATATATGACTTGTCCTTATTACTACAATTCTTTATTATCTTCACTATTATTTATTGTCCTCATTGGTATATTAATCTCAACGTTGAGTAAACATTAAATTCTATTAAAATATTTATGACAAAAATGAGAAAAAGGATAATATCATTTGTTGTATTCCACCTCACTTACTCTTAGACCAAATAAAATGTTCACCACTTTAATTTAAAAGAAGGAAGAAGAGAACCCAAACAAAGCTGATAATTCAAGCCATTTTCAGTAAATGATTTGATTGTTCTAAACCAACTTATTGAATTTGGTGTTTAACCTCTACATACCCTTTTTCTTCACTTAGCTCTCATACTGAATAAGTGATACTTAATAGCACTCCTCTCTTCATGAGTAGAGCAAAACTGTAGAAAAAAGAGATTAGTTTGTTGAGTTCTTGTACGATGAGATCAATTTTGATTGTTTCATGACATCAACTCTAACGTGTAACTTCACGTCTCAATTTGTTGATGGAATAATTCATATTCTGAATGACCGTAAGAAGCTTGTAAAGGACATATTAAAAGCACAACAATTTGGTTTCGTTTGACAAAAACTTTTCAGTTGGTTCTGGGCTTGGCTATGTTTTGACTACCGTCTAGTCTTCTTCAATAAGACTGTTGGTGTTTTTAATAATGACTACTTTTATTTTTAATTTTATAAATAACATAAAGCAAAAAAAGGTAGAAAGATTAAAAAAAGAGAAAGAAAAGATAAATTGGATCCGTAAAGAGTATTAACACACCAAAAAGGAGGAGTTCCACATTAACAGGATGAAGCCATATGAATTAAGAAGATAATTCACACCTCTGCCTTTGTAAGGATAGTAAGCATGGTGATTAGTAATTTACCTGCGCGTTCTTACTACCGTATTAAAATTGGAAAGAGAATAAACTAATCCTAAAAATTAAAGAGGATGAGAAAATCAAGAAGAAATAAAGAATCTACGTAAATAGGCAATCAAAGGAAAATTTCATTCATTCACAAAGAACATGTAATAAAAGTAATTGCAATTCATAAACCCTATCGGCAATAAAAAATGAAAAGTCAATTCTAGAATAAAATGCAATAAAAGTCAAATGTTTGGATTAAGCCAATTACTTGCTCATGTTCCAAGTCATCTAAGGAGCAAAACGTAGATAAACTTCTGTCCAAATAATCTGCAAATAATATCAACATTTAACCATGTTGCTGCTTTCATAAGGTATATATAAATTAAAATTTACTGGATAAAATATATCAAAAGAAAGGAAGATGAAAGAGAGAATATTGTTGCAAGGCTCATCGCTCCGGATAAACGTAAAGGACTATTATGAGGAAAATTCGATAAAAGTGAGAACAAAATTTGAGATAAATTTCTGTACAAATAATCTGCAAATAATATCAAGAGTTAACCATTACTAACTATAAAGAGAGATAAAATAGCAGCAAAGATAAAAGAGAACAAACATAAGTTTATGTCAAAACGGTCTGCAAATAATATCATGTCTTAACCATTAGTAAATAGAAAGCTAGATAAAATACCAACAAAACATAAAGGTGAATAAACAAATCTTGAAACCAAGAAGAAGGGATTAACCTTGGGTAGTTGGGAGAGAGAAGAGAAGAGAGAGATTTAGATCTAGCAAATGAAAAAAGAAGAAAAGAGAAGGAGACGTTAATGAAAAAGAAGCCCTGGACCTCTGGCGTGGAAGGATGAGGGATAAGAAGATGAGACATGTAGTAGTTAAGATGACTTTTAAAAGTGTCTTTTCAATTAAGATGACTTTTAAAAATGACTTTTTAGAATTTTAATAGAGACTTAATAAAGGGAAAAGGCAAAAATTTATGAAAAAAGATAAATATGAATGATAATTTTTAAGAGATGCTACGTCACTTTGCCAAGTCCCTCCTTTATATATTTATATAGATTGGACTGTATGTTGACTTTGATTTTTACTCGTTCTAAGATTATCAAAATAATTCGCCTACACTAATTAGGATGCGTTATTCAATATTTTTGATAGATTGAGGCCATTGGAAGTAGATTGGTTGGTGTTCTAGACGTTGCAAGGTTGGGGAACTTCCCATTAGCGAGGTAAGTGAAACTTTAAGCTTTGATGCTTGCTATTCTAAAACCCGTTTTGAAAAGTGTGTTTTCTCTGCCTGGTCCATGTGTTGGGACAAGCGTGCCCTTGGCAGAATCGGTGTTCTTAGACTAGCCGCAAATATATTATTTTATGAAAAATACAAAAAAAAACTATAAGTTGTTTGATGGCGTGATACGGCTGTGAGCCATGATGTTGAGTTTGATACTTTGATACGGTCGTGAGCCATGGTGTTGAGTTTGATACGGCTGCGAGCCAGGGGCATTGTGTGTGCCTTTGTACATCACCAGAGCATTGTGTATGATTCTTGATATATTTGGGGGCATTGTGTATGCGTAGATTTGGGGCATTGTGTGTTCGATTTGGGGCATTGTGTATGCCGCCGTGGACTCGTTGGGGTGTGGTTAATTTCCTACACTTCCGTTAATGACAAGTCATTAATGTAGATTGTGTTGAGATATATATAGTATTGTTGTTGAATAATTGTTTGGACCTTATAAAGTAATTATATGGTGAAAGAATTTCTGTGCATATTATTTCTGTGCTCGTTGTGTGTTTGTATTTTCTAACACTTGTTCCAGAGGTATTTAGAGTGGCGGATCGAGAATCTTACTTGGTTATATTTACGTATAGCTCACTCCTTATCTGCGTGTCTATGCAGATACTATTGGTAAAAACAGAGCTAGTAGCTTACGAGTTTGCAAGAGTTGGTTCAGTTATTGAGGTGAGCAGCCGCATTGTTTGTGGAGGCTGCCAAAAGAGTCTTTATTATTTATTCATATGATGTTTGTTGCAATTCTCTTAGATGCTCCATGATCTAGTGTGGGATTTGGGCTACAATTTTAGTATAATATTTCGAGATGTTAATTGTTTGTAATTTAGTTGTTAGATTATTTAGATACTCTTATGATTAATCAAATATTGTAAATTAATGGCTAAGGTAAGAAAGTATGGTTCGCCTGGCGGGTGGTGTTAGCTGGGTGCCAGGTCTAGGGGGTATTTTGGGACGTGACAGAAATCTATTGTGTTTAAAACCTTCATTACTAATGAACTTAAAGTCATAATTTTCGGGATATTCTATATGTTAGATGTTTATGACAATGATTCTTGAAAGTAAAGAAATGAAAGTGTGAAATATGAAATACGACCATTGTGCCATGAATGAAAAATCATATGTATGGCCAATAGAGCTAATGAAATAATGATGTTGTGAGTGGTTAAAAGTGTTAATGAAGCTATATATGGTATGAAAGATTATGAGATGAATGCATCTATATTTCTATTTCCTTTGTATATAAAATATTTTTGGGAGTATCATTAGCGAGCCGAGGAAGGGTGGGTTGTAACGGTCCGCACCCGAAACTACACGTGTCGGTGTAGGAGTGGATTGAGATTATTCCCCTTAATTGGGATGAGATTGATGTATTGAGATTATTCCCCTTAATTGAGATGAGATTGTTGCTGACCTTGGATTGGATGCCGACTCACACGGCATATGTGGGGAGACGACTTAGCCGATCGGGTGGTGATCGTACGCCATGTCGCGCGCATGGTGGTTCCTCCTTCTTATTATCATATTTCATTCACATCACCATGTCAATCCACATTGATTCGTGGAGAGATGGCTTAGCCGATCGAGTTTGTGATCGGACTCCATGCCTCGTGTATGATGTGATGATCGGAGGCTAATGATCTCCCAACCAAAAATGTTAATTTCTTATTTTGAAAATTATTATGTTTTAACTGGCATTTGGATATCATTGGTTGTTCCTTGCTGCTTTCATGATTATTCCCTTTTTATATTGTCATTTCTATTTCATGAGAGGGTATTTAGCTTTACATACTAGTACTATTTCATATGTACTAACGTCCCTTTTGCCAGGGGTGCTGCATCTTTAATGGATGCAGGTGGTTCGTCAGCGGACAACTTTGATCCTCGTTAGCAGTTACCCTCTACTCAGTAAGTTTTGGTGAGCCCTACTCTATCCCGAGGCCTTATATCGCTTGGTATTGTATGTTGTGTTTTGAGGTATAGTCGGGGCCTTGTTAACGGCACTTCCATACTACTCTTCTGTCATACTTAGAGGCTCTATAGACATGTTGTAGGTGGTGTTCGATGTTGGGTAATGAACTAGAGGTGTTGGTATTTGTCAAACATGTTTTCCCTCGTAACTATGAACTTGTAATATTTTTGGAAATTGTAAATGAAGCTCCTATGAGTTTGGAAAAAGAATGTGGTACACTTTACTCTTCTCATATCTATTTCTTGTTACTGATTCTTAAATTGTTCATGGGTAATATTGGGTAGAAGGCATCAAGTAGGCTTGCTTGACTGGGATATCTCGGTCGAGCGCCGGTCGCACTCCCCGAGGTCGGGGCGTGACAGGCTATCACTCAGGTTCTGTTGTTAGTAGTCAGCACTAAAAAATAATTTTAAAAAAAAGGAGAAAAAGAAGAAGAAAAACCATTGCTAGAATGATACTTTGATCATATTAGTAGCAAAACATTTTACTTAACCAACTAATGGGAGGAAAATCAAATATATTAGCTAGAGAGCAACTTTAGGTCGTGTTTCTTTAAAGAAATTGAAAAGCTGAACATAGAAGCTCAATTTTTCAGTTTTTTGCAAAAAGTATTCGTTTAAGTTGTTTTTTGCCCAAAAAGTAACTCTTTCCGCTAGTTTCTAACTCTGTTTTTCAATTCTTTGAAAACTGAAAGCTCCTGACCAATTTTTCAACTTTTCAAAATAAAGGGCACCTAATAATATACTTGAATTTAAGACCAATCAAAATGCATATATAGCTCAAGGAAAAAAAATGTCATCTTTATTGAAATCTCGAATCAAATACAGTAGCAGGAAATTCAACCCTTATCTGAAACAAATTCCACCTTACCATACCAATATTTAAAAGGGCTTTGCACCAATGCTTGTGCTTTTACGCAACATTACAATGTCCTATTGGACAAAATATAATGCCAGTGTCTGTTGCTACATTCATGTATATAAGTTAATTATATACATGTTTAGACACTTCACATATATGAGCGCATACGAGGCCTTACTAGAGACTGGGCACCATCGACAAAGATGGAAGTTCCAGTCATGTATCGTGAATCATCGCTGATTAAATAGATGACGGTGGATGCCAGATCCTTTTTAACATCAAGCCATCGATTTAGAGGCGCTGCTTCCTTGGTCAACTTCTCTGCTCTCTCCTTCCCCACTGACATAGGATACTCATCCTCGAGGTGCAAGCCACGCGATATGCCATTCACCCTAATTTGGTGCTTCCCCATCTCTAGTGCAGATAGCTGAGCAGGCATACAGATATTATCATCAAAATAACCATAATTAGACTAAAAATGGTACTAATATATAATGGAGGCACCATCGCTCCGGAAGTTAAAAGCTAGTTTAGTGGTAGAATCTAATATGACTGTTTCCGGTAAGATTCTGAGACTAATGTTAAAACAATTCAGGAGAAAAGAAAACAAGAGAACTAAACTAACATGAGAACTGCTTTATCGAAGAATAATTCAAAAGATACCATGGAAACTGAAGTCTTCTCTAATATTCAGAGGCAGACCCAGGATTTTAATGCGTCGGGGGCACCACTGTTTTGTTCAATCAGTGCTTCCTAAATGCCTTTAGTGTTCAGGGTGCCAAGTAATTTAAATTAACCATTTTCAAGGAATACACATACGCATATATAAGATTTCTGCCAAAGTTTACAGGGTCCGGTGACCCCTTAAGGTTGAACATAGGTCCGCCTTTGTCTCTATCTAGGGACTACAGATAAATTGATGATCCCCAAATTTTCAATTACCTTGGCGCCTTGGATAGTCAATACCCTACAACTGGAACCAAAACCTCCTTCTCTCCCCTCCCAAATATTGCTAATTACTTCCGACTTTGAGACAAGCAGTAATGACAGATATATAAAATAAAATAAATAAAAATTGAAAATCCGTAAATTATCCGTAATTGAAGTATATCCCACATGGCAATCAAACTTCCCAACCACCCCCCAAAAAAGGGAGGGTCATAATTCATTTTGAGGACATGCCATGGTGTGAGTTTTTCTAGTGCTCGAGCAAAAGATAGTAAAGTAAACCCAGATATACTAATATACCATATTAGACAACATAATTTGTCCGAAATTTGAAATTTCTTCCACACAATTGGGAAATCCCAAACAACCTCAAAGGCATGATGCAATAAAAGATGATATAACACATGTCTAACAGAATAAATCAGTAATTAGACGGAAAAGACTGGTGATCAAGAGGAGGAACAATAAAGTGAAAATGTTTATGAAGACGGGTAATCTCTTGTCTCATATAATTCTATGGGACATGGTCGTACACAGTCTGATCATGCATCCCAAACACATAGGAGAATCAAAAAAGTTACTTACCCTAACCAGCTGATGTATTCCAGCTGCACATGAACCATAAGCAGCAGCTCCTTGATATATTCCTCTCTCAGACCCAATGATCGAGGTCAGAAATACAATGGATCCTCCGGATTTATTATCTCGCATTCTTTTACCAATACATTTCAACAGGTACCATCCAGCCATAAAATTTATTTTGACAATTTTTTTGAACTCG